GCCTAACAAGGGAAGTTTTAATTGAGCAACAAGACCCAATATTATAATAATATAGAGAAATCACCCGTAGCTTGCAGGAAATTAGGCACTAAAAGTTGTCCCGGCTTACGCGGAAAAGCAGACCCCAGGATAACTTGGAATTTTAGTTGACACCTACTGGGAAACTGCAACGTGAGTATCCGCGATTCTATCTTTGGACCTCAACCACTGTCTAACTTAATTCCCGACGCAACAAACAGATGAAGAGATATGCCCAGCAGAATTAGAGCAACTGTGGGCCAGCATAGCAAGTGGTGTCTGGCCATAGAGATACTTGCTGAAGCTAGGGGTTGGTAGATATCGAATACCCGCCAGGCCCTAAAAATTCGATAAAGAATCAATATGGACACAGAATAAAACAGGCTACGCAATGAGATATACAATGCAAATCAAGGTACGGCGGGTCGTTTAGAGGTAATAAAAGGAGAACATCAAGGTTAATATGCTATTTTATTTATTCTAAATTTATTCGTCATAAGGTATAGGACAAAGTAATGAACTCCAGTCTCCAAAATGCGGTATGCAGGATCAGCTGCATTCAGCCAGCGCAGCCTCTTTTTCTTCATTCAGCTCCTTGATGTTTAGGTTTATGTGTTGCTGGGCAAAATCATCCATCGTTAAGCCATGTGTGATTTTCCAGCATTTGTTAGAAATTGAAACAGGGAAACTGAAAACGAGTCCCTTAGGTACATTGTAAGATCCGTCGCTAACCACGGCCATTGAGACCCATGTACCCTGAAATAGGAAAAATGGGTTAATTCGAGGTCGTAAAATAGAGAACAATTAGATAGGACCAATTTACCTCAGGAGTTCCAGACCACCAACTACGCATATGATCTACGGCAGCTTTCGCTGCAGACATTGCGCTACTAGACTTCCGAGCAGCCAGAACTACACCGCCTCGCTTCTGCACCGTAGTCAAGAATTCCTTCTTAATCCAGTTGTCATCAGCTATAGCCTTAACTGCACCTTCATCTAAATGACCAATTTTCACAGTAGCATGCGCAACGTCAGGAAACTGGGTAACACTGTGATTTCCCCAAATAATAACATTACGAACGTCAGTTATAGGGATATTCAACTTGCGAGAAACCTATAGGTGTGGAATAAAGTTTAAGATAGATGGACAATTGCATAAGTAGTGTAAAAATATTACCTGGGCTAAAGCTCTGTTATGATCTAAGCGAGTAAGAGCGCTGAAGTTCTCCTTCGGAATCGAAGGTGCGAAATGCGAACAAATAAGGCAATTAGTATTGGCAGGATTTCCCACAACAAGGACTTTGACAGTCTTCTTCGCTACCTTGTCTAAAGCAATTCCTTGTTCTTTAAATATTTTTACGTTAGCCTTTAATAAATCTTTCCTCTCCATTCCCTCTTTTCTTGGCATCGCACCAACTAGAATGGCGCAATCGGCATCCTTAAAGGCCACTAAAGGATCATCAGTCTTTACAAGACCAGCAAGAAGAGGGAAGGCGCAATCCTGAAGCTCAAGATCGATTCCATCTAGTAAATTGAGTGCAGGAGTTATTTCTAAAAGTTTTAGAACAACAGGCTGGCATATTGAAGCCAAAAAACAAACCTGCTCGGGACCAAATATATCGCCTCGTGCTATCATTGATACAAGGGAGTAGCATATCTGGCCAGCAGCACCAGTAAGTGCGACGGTAATAGACTAAAAAAGAGTGAATAAGATAGGCGAATAACTGACCATGGAGAAGCGTTGGAACAGAGAGTGTTAAAGATAAGCGTGTTGAGTAAGTTGATGTCACCCAAGAAATAAAATAGTTAAGTAAAACAATATAAAGTGTAGTATAATTAAATAATTATTATTGTATTT